TCAATAGTAAGAGAAATATAGATTTCAACACTGCAACAAGTGTGTTGCTATATTTCTCCACACGAGACAGTTAAATTCTATTGTTTAAAGCTTTTTGAATAATTAAAATATAACTGTTGAGATTGGAGAAATATCGTAGTACACCAGTTATAGTGTCGGAATCTGTTTTTCTAATGATTTTGTTCCTTCTTTTTCAAATATTTTCAGAAAGTTGCGTTCTTTATATGCGACGTCATCAGGTAGTTTCGCATTTTTTCATGACGTCACAATAGGGAAATTCAGAAGAAACAAAGAAATTTTGACGTCATAATCGAATTTTGACTAATCATTTGCCGAGAACAGACATTTCACTAGTTAGGAGAAATATTTTTCTCACACCGCTAAAGAAATGTGAAAACAGCACAAAAATTATAGAAAGACGACAAACCCGTTGGTCAATTTTAAATATGTATTATCTGTTTCTAGTTAATATTGTGAAAGAATAAATCAATTTCTAATGTGTTAAGTATTTTTGTAAATGAACACTAGACTAAGATGAACACACTTCATTAAAAGTATTTTTATATGGGAGAGAACTCTAGTTTTTACCGCGCCAATTCATGAGCAAATAATATGTCTCAATTTGCAGTTTATCAATTATTTGTGAACAATTGTAGGTGTAAGAACAATCTTTTTCAAAGTTTTTTGAGCATTAGTTCTCATGGTTGCTAGGTAACAAAAAGCTCACTGAAGCTAGTAAACTGATGTTTTCTGTTTATCCTATTGCAATGCCCATTGTTGCCACACTTTTTCTTATTTAATAAGATTCCCATTTTTTTTATATTGTTTTCTCGATCAAAGTAAATGTTTAAATTGAACTTAATTTGTTGTGGTATATAGTAGATATATAAAGTCCCCCATGTTATCATTTTTAGTATGTGAGCTAGTCCTAAGATTTGACTAACACAGTTATCTCCCCCTGATATGCAAATTTGTTTACAAATGTTCAACAAATAATACATTACTTACAGCTGTGTAATACTGTAAATACATGTTTTTAAGGATTAATGTGTTACTGAGAAAAAGTTGAAGTTATTATTAAAGAGATATTTGGTTTTTAAAATAGTATAAATGAAAAGTTTATAATTTGATTAATTGTTTACTGCAAGTTCCATGCATATCTTGATAATTTAGAAATCATTCAAACGCTTCAGAATTCACATCGTTTAAGGTAAAATAGCAAGAAACTTCACAGTTCTTAACTTTTGTATGACTATAAAGCTATGATTTGTTATTGTACAAATCATAATACTAATATCTGATGTATTCACTTTATTGTTATGTTTTGTATTTCATTATGTTATATTGTTTTTATGTATGAATCACTTGACCATTAGATTGCAGTGAATAACGAAAACTCACAGTAACCATATTTGACTATTTTCAGGCCTGTCAAAATATTATCGTCAAGAAGATTATCTTGCCACAGCTGAAAATCATACAGTCAAAGCCAAACTTGCATCTTTCTTTCACACTCTTGCTCAAGCTCTACCACGAACACAAACGCACCTGAAACCTAAGTTTGACGGCTTTACCTTCTTTTGTCGATAAACTAATGCAATGCACAATACATAATGTTCACATATGTGGATGAAACAATTAAGAACACAGGTATATAACATTTTAAATATTCGTTTATCCATAAATGTTTGATCTGTTTATTTAAATGATATTTAAGTCCTTTATTTATTTTAATGTTGATAATGAAATTACAATTAAACAATAAACGTGATAGCAGTCAATAGATGATGTCAAAAACCAAGCATTAAATAAAGTATTTTCAATGATTTTCAAACAAATATTTTGGTTCTCCCTTATTTATATTTTTTATCTTAATTTTATGGGAAAATGCGCTTTTCATTGAAAATAATACGAATTTCATCGGTTTATTTATTTGATAGAAGAAATGAAATGCTTAATAAAGAGGAGAATCACAAGCACAAATTAGGCTGCGGACTACAATGGATTTATATTAGTCATTATTGAGGAGTGATGCTGAAAAGTGTAGCTGTGTTAAGGTAAAGAGTACATTCAAATTCTTTGGTCAATACGTGAATTACTAGTTAGAACATGTAGGAAGCATTTTGATTCTCCTTGGGTGCAAAGAAATAAATTTGTTTAATTGAATTGGATTGATGAAAAAAAAACACTGATTGAGGATGAGAATTCAGTTGAGAGTAAATTTTTACCAAAACTGAGCACCAAAATATTTAGTCGTCCGGAACTTTAATGAAATAATATGGAAAAAAAATATTTATAAATTTATAAAAGTTCAGGGTGAAGAGACACCACTGGGTTCTTAAAATGGAATCGTCTATTTAAAATTGGTAACTTAAATAATAAAACATAAAGCATTTTAAAATTCTCTCATTTTTTTCTGAAAGATAATACACTGAAAATATTTAGATGGAAACTATTGCCCTTTACATCTTACCTTGTAAGGTTATATTGAAGCAATGGCTAATAAGTACAAACTGCCATGCATGTAATATTACAGAAGTTTACGAACACATGTTTCTAAGATGTCAAACATTAAAAGTATTTTGGGAAAAAATGAAAGATATTTTAGGAAAAATTAAAATAGTAAAATCATATTCTAAGCTTATCAAATCTAGCATGGGGATATACCATTGAACCGGAAGAATACTATAAAGTAAATAACTTAATTACAAAAAACACATACACATACACAATTTATATGGCATACTTTATTTCTGAACAAAGATCAAAATCTGTCAATACTTTTTGCGTTTTCAAATCAAAATTTCAAGAAATTTTCGAAATTGAGTGTAAACGGCGGGATTAACTTGATATTCTTTGCAGTGTCGCAAAGATTTTAAGTGCTTTGTAAACTAGATTTAAGGTACATTCATGTTTATTTTTTTTTATGTTATGTTATGGATTTATGTAACTATCATTTATAGAATAGAACCATATGATTATATTGTATAGGTGTATGAGCTAACATTTGTGTTTAGAGAGATATATACAAGTAAACGTAATATTGTATGCATGAGATAGTGTATGTGTAAATTATTTTGTATGTGAACATGGTCATGATGGTAGATGTATAAAACAAATATCAAATAACATGTAATGTATAAAACGAGTTGTTTCCCTTTACGCAATAAAAATCACTTATTTCGTGCATTACGGGTCACGATGTTTGTAATATTGTCGAAATAAAATTAGCAAAGGACACAAAAGCGGTTTTCTAAATAAGCAATTTATCATCTTATGTTCAATTTTGAAGTAATCAAATATGTTGACATATTTTATTTTGTTTCATTTAACGTTTAATTTAGAATCTATACTATTAAATGAGAAGACCTCATTTTGTGTGTCGCTTCTCTTCCTTCCACAATAAATTAATAATCATGCCTCTGTGTCCTAAAGGTACCATGCATAGTCGCTTATGATTATTCAGTTTGGGTTATTTTGGGAGGAAAACGAAAATAAAGGCGTCCGGATATTGTTTCCGTCATCGGACAGACTTTTAAGACTTTCAAGATTTCCTTTAGGGAAAACGGTACTATTTATTCTGCCATAGGCGACAATACTAACATTTTCTAAATTTACCACTTTTTATAATAAAAACCCGGATAAAACAGTTATGTGTAGTGTTAGTACTTTATTATTCTGTTTTAAAAATTGAAGCCAAATAGTATCATGACCAACTTCCTACGGAGCTTGTTAATTTTATCCATGCCCACCGTCATTTTACACCAAATTTATGAAATTTTTTAAGTCTTTTCGAATAATTCTCAAGAAAATATTTCAATAGGTTTCAAAATTTATATTGTAAATATACACCCTGCAGTTATTCGTAGATAAATAAAAAAAATATATTGTACCCTAACATCCAATCACAGCGCTCCAAAGTTGACTTCCTTCACCTGCCTTGGGTACACAAAAGGCCAACCTAATGCTGGGAAAATATAATAGTACCGTTTTCCCTTTAGGTTAGGACTGTTTTAAAATTACACATAATTTTCATAAGTACTTGGGAATAGGACAATTATTTTCGCGTTTTTCTGTATACTATGATCGTACATATACTATAAATAAAGTGTATTTGCTATTTACTATCAATTCAAATATAATATATCAGTGACCGCCGTGGATAGTAAACTTGGAATTGATAGTAAATAGCAAGTACACTTTATTTATAGTATATGTACGTTCATAGTATACAGAAAAACAGAAAACAAAAAATAACGGACTTTGGGAAAAAAGGGGGAGGGCTAAAAAAAATTGTCCTGTCACTAAGTACATATGACTTTTGATACCTAATTATATTTGAAACTTACCTTGATAGAATATGATAGACACATTTGTAAATCCAAAGGAAAGAAACAAGTGTTGTAGGCTAGGGTTTATGAAATAAATCACTGTAAATAACAAACCGTAAACGGAGAAAAATATATCCGCAATATAAATGTAAAATTCAAATGTACTATTCTAACAATGAAGAATATACAATTTCGTCAAGTCAATCCCCTGGTTCTTTTGACGCACAGGGATAAACCTATATAAAATAGTTGTACTATATATTGCAGCTGTTAACAACTAGCTACTAGAGCAATAAAGAATCTGTTAATGTTAAAAAAAAAAAAAAAAAGAATAAATAAAAAGATATTAGGAACAAGTTATCTATTTCCATTAATCAATGCAATTTCCAGTTCCAATTTATATGGCTTTGTTCACAGAGAGTAATCCAAACACACTTAGACAACTGTGAATGCTCTTTTCCAATTGTATAATTAATAATTGATATTGTTGTATTATATATGGAATTAAAAAGTCGCGATCGGTTAACACTTGTCTGATTAAGAAAATGCAATAGTAATTACATAAACTAAATAAACACATACGCAGTATTAATGCACGGTTTTTTGTTTTTGTTTTTTTTCAAGAGGAAAGGGAGAGAGTGTTTTTCATAAAACAAAAGCGTAATTTACCTGTTACTGTTACCATTACATTAGAACCAGCTGCTTTGAAGTTACCATCTCTATAATATGCATAACAACGATAAACACCGGAGTCATTTGTATCAACGTTTTTTATGGTTAGATGAGATGTGCGTCTTCCGTCATACTTCACATCGTCATAAGGTAAATATAAAAAATTATAAGAGTTGTCCTGTTTTTGCCATTCAAAAGAAGCACCACGTTTATCACAATCCAGATTAACTTTTCCGCCCACGATAGCGGCTAGATCTACAAAAAATCAATATTGAAAGTGATTAACTAAAAAGGATATTTGTTTCTCTTAAAAAATAAGATTTACATTCTAGTACAGAACATTCTCCTTTCAACGGAATGAAAAAAATCACTATGATATACTTCAAAACCAGTTTTTAAATATAATGAAAATTAAAAAAAAGTTTCTTCAGAATACCTTTTGGTGTTCCCCGGTCGCAAGTTGTTCAACTCGTTTCTAGCTATATCCTTAACGTGGTAAAAGCTACATTTTGGCAAAATCTTTCATTGAAATATGTCCACCTGTAGTTGCACTGTAAATACAGATGTTTCTTAAACCACGCCTCTTTTGGAGAGAGATATACAATATTCATCGAAAACTTGATTTGTTTACTTAATATGATCCCTATGTTTCATCTCATAGAGACATAACTTAGGACTGTTACCAGTATAAAAACATATTGTTGCGGTAAAAATTGAATTCTGAAGTAGACAAAAAGTGGAGGTAGGGGTAGTACAGAATTTTAGTATAAGTTTAAACTCTAACAAATTCAAGGCATATAAATGTTGAAAATATGCAGCACAGTCCTATGTTTTGACCTTTGAATAAAATAGTAGTGCATATTAGTTTTCCATTTTAGGATATATTTTTTACGAAACTTCATAATAAAAAAGTCACAGTTTAAGTCGCAAAGGGAATTCCTATGGAAAATTGCATTGTCTATATTAACAGAAATGCAAACTGTTTATACTGATTACTATTAGTATCAAAGATTTGACATTTACCCAAAAAAGACAGATGCTAGGAAACCCAGAAAGGGATCCTAATGAAATTTAAAAAATAGGGTGCACAATAGCATCTTATTGTTATGAGATTGTGAAAAAGTTTTAATAAATTGTAATAAGGGTTTTAAGAGAAGTGTCAAATAAATACTAAACGGGTATCTTGTAAAGTAAAGCGGGAAAATATCGTATTGTCGTTACGTTTTCATAAACATTCATGAGGCATAACAAAATTGACCAATCAGGAAGTCAAATTATGTATTGTAACATATTGGTATTTTTCAAGCGCTCCACTGTCTGGTCGTCGTTCAACAGAGTAAGCTCCTTTTTTATAATTGCTGATTGCAATTAAATTTTCTATTTATATACGTATTTGCCAATTAAAGGTGTGGTCCGACACTTTTATCCTGAGATAGGCTCGTGCATTGGCATCGGATACAGGTTTGCATTCATATTCATATATATATGAATAATGATTGTTGGGATGTTTTTACTGCTGGAAATTGTTTGAGATACGTTCAACGGCAGTGAGCAAATTTACATTTGTGTTTTAGTTATATTGAGTACAGGTAATACAGGTGTTGATTGTATTATTGTATGCAATGCTGTGGTTAAATATCGTCACATGTCACCTGAATGATTAGTTTATAAGTTTGCAACGCACGTGTATGAATCATAGTTTTACGTTTCCTCGTTTTCTTTTTAACGAAGGTCCGGAAAAGAAAATTGTTCAAAAGCAAGAAAAATCTCCGACTTTAAACTTTATCCTTTTACTTTGTTAGAAATGATTGATTTGAAGTGGGTACATGTACTTTACAGCCGTTTTGGTGACGCACGTGCTTCAAGCTTTAAATTCCAAGACTAAAGTTGGAAATTTCAAGATTAAAGTTGATAATTTCAAGATTAAAGTTGATAATTCCAAGATTAAAATTGGAAAATCCAAGAATAAAGTTGATAATTCCAAGATTGAAGTTGGTAATTCCAAGATTAAAGTTGATAATTCCAAGATTGAAGTTGGTAATTATAAGATTAAAGTTGATAATTCTAAGATTAAAGTCGACAATTTGAAAAATAAAATAAAGAAGGATGGTCGTGTTCTTAGAAAGATGTTTTGACATAATGAAGTGTTCACATATGATGTGTTTCTTATCAAGAAGTACATGTAACCACATCACGTAATGATGTTTTAACATCATTTAAAGATGTACCCAAATCACGTAATGAAGTTTTCACATCATATAAAGAAGTAACCACATCACGTGCATGTAATGAAGTTTTTACATCATGTAAAGACGTAACCACATCACGTAACAAATATTTCAAATCATGTAAAGACGTAACCACATCACGTAACAAATATTTCAAATCATGTAAAGACATAACCACATCACGTAACAAATATTTCAAATCCTTTAAAGACGTAACCACATCACGTAACAAATATTTCAAATCATGTAAAGACATAACCACATCACGTAACAAATATTTCAAACCATGTAAAGACGTAACCAAATCACGTAACAAATATTTCAAATCATGTAAAGACTTAACCACAATACGTAACATATATTTCAAATCATGTAAAGACGTTTCTCTAATTCTTCGTCAATTTATCCCTTTCTGCACCCATTGTATAAAAAACATTTAATCAACGTGTGGTTCGTTTGATCTCAGTTCTTCATTGGTTAAAATCCGATTATGACGTCGAATTTTCTTGCTTTCCTTTGAATTTCCTATTGTGACGGCATGAAAAAAGGCGACCATGCCTGATGACGTCACATAGAAAGAACACATCATTTTGCAGATCATTCGAAAAGAAGGAATAAATTTGCCTGCGTATTGTTTGAAAATCATTAGAGAAACAGATTCCACCACCAAATCTCGTGTAATACGATATTTATCCACTCTCGACAGTTAAATTTTAAATATTTAAAACGCTCGGCGAGCCTCGCGTTTTAAATTTGAAAATTTAACTGTCTCGAGTAAATAAATATCGTATCACACTCGATGCAGTGGTAGAATCTATATAACCACATCACGTAACAAATATTTCAAATCATGTAAAGACGTAACCACATCACGTAACAAATATTTCAAATCATGTAAAGACGTAACCACATCACGTAACAAATATTTCAAATCATGTAATAAAAGACGTAACCACATCACGTTTTGAAGAATTCATATAATGTAAAGAAGTAATCATATAATGTAAAGAAGTAATCATATCATGTAATAAAGTTTTCATATCATGCAATAAAGTATTCATATTATGTAATGATGTGTTCATATCTTGGAATAGTGTTTTGACATCAGCTAGGCAAAACATTGTGGTTTCTTCTTATAAGGAAGTGACTGCGTTCCATAGATATACATATTTGTTAGTTTCATTTGGAAATTCAGGACTTTTCTATAGGACTTTGAAATTGTTTTATATAGTGCATTTATATTTTTAAGTAAGTATAGACTAGAAATCTTTTAATGTTTTTAAAGCATCTTTAGAAGATGAATCAAGATAAGCTATCCTACGTATTTTAATAACCTCTTGTAAATGATTTTTCCAAAAATAAATAAGTTGCTCTTTTCTAACAGGCGAGGCAAGCAAAACAAGTGTTCCATGAGACAATTCAAACTAAGCATAACATATATAAATATATAGTCAGATGCGTTTTGTTAAAATATACTTTTTCACTTTTTTGGTCTTTTGGAAAACGTTGTTTGTGATGTATTTAGACCCCTCTAACAAGAAATTTGTTTTGCATGCACACGTATAAAAATTGCGGTTTTTATCCAACGCAATCATAGGTTTGAACGTTGTTTTCAATTTTGACTTGTTTATATTTTTTCGTTTGGGCTTGTATTATATTTGCCTTCGGGTTTATATGATCCGTTCATCCTATTTTGACTCCTCAAAATTCAAGAGTCTATCCTAAATTGAGGTAAATTATGTGGCCTTCCAATAACCGTTTCGATTCCTAACATCACTGAAGAGACATTAATTGTCGAAATCCGGATATGGTGTACAAAAAATCTTTGCACCTTTGTTTGCGGTATACCATCTTCGCCGCAAGTTTATTGTTTTCTTTTTGTTATTAAATTTATAGTTAAGATCCATTTATTACACCTTGTGATCCGTTTTTTTGACAATCGCCAATGGCAGTCAGCAGGATTTAAGAACATGTGTTGTTCGACCTGTTAGTCAGATGGGTTTTGTTAAAATATACTTTTTCACTTTTTTGGTTTTTTGGAAAATGTTGTTTGTGCTGTATTTAGACCCCTCTAACAAGAAATTTGTTTTGCATGCACACGTATAAAAATTGCGGTTTTTATCCAACGCAATCATAGGTTTGAACGTTGTTTTCAATTTTGACTTGTATATATATATATATATATATATATATATATATAGTGTTTATATTATGGTTTTCTGCATGAGTAATTTTAAAGACATATTTTTCAATACCATTTTTATTATATTGTTTTTTTTTTTTGGACTGCAGACAAAATTATCGCTGGGAACAATCTTGCTGAATTAGGTCAAGTGCAAACCAAACATACAAGAAAGGTATATTATAATGTTCAATATTCTCACTTTTACATCTTTCTAAACAATGATTCTTTGAAAAAAAAATCTGAAGAAGTCATAAAAATGAATTTTACTTGTTGAAATCTTTGCCACAATAGTTTATCTCCTACGTTGCATATGTTGTCCATTAAATAACTAAAGTTAGAAATTTTTTTTATATAAATGAGCTTGCTAATTTTAAGCACAATGTCGGAAATAATGTTTTTAGGGATTTTCATTAGAAACACATACTAATTATGATATTCACTGCCTAATATGTATTTTCATTTTTTCTTTATTCAGATAGATCAAGTTACAGCTTTAGATGATTCTTGTTCAATTAATAGAACAAGAAATACAAAAACACTGTTGATGAAGATTCAGGAGTCGATCTTGTATAATTTGAAAGAAGTAGTTCGAGGTACTTCCCAATTACAGAAACAAGGGGTTACCTCACACTTTGTAACTGAAATATTTTAATCTGCCTTGTCTACGATGTGCTACTTGACTTTATGTCAATAAAGAAGGCTGAGAAAATACAGACTTAAACAAAATTTCTCATTAAAAATGAAAATTAGGAATAAAAATCAAAATACAGACCTGAACGTAAATCACAGGAATAGATATCCATAACATGAAACATGGGAATTAACATTCGTAGCATTAAACA